AGCTGTTTTGAAATGTGTAAGCCATATTAAGGTATTTGTATTTTCCATTGTATCTTACACTACAGATAAGTTATTTCCCTTGTTCATTATAGCACTATACTTACTTACTTACTTTTTTTTGTATCATTTTGAAGAATGAGTGGGGAAAAAAGTTCTAGGGAGAAGCAGGGAAATATGGTACATCATCATGACTGGCTGTGTTACCTTGCCTGAATTATTTATTGATATGATACAATTTTTAACCTTCACAATAAATAACATTTTATATAATGTTTGAATAACCAAGGGTGCATCAGTGAGGATTAACCCGACACACCCATTCAAACTTGATCCTGTGGCTGAGTCAGTGCAATTTAAACATGAATAAGTATTCTACGCATTATAAACATCCAAAATTTTTAAGTAAAATGGCCAAATGTCATGATATATATATCTTAACACCTTGGATCCAGGTGCTTCACTGCCTGCATGTGGCAAGTTTTGATATGGTCTTTATACCATATTATTTTCTTGCATAAAGAACTATTTATAAAAAGGGAGTAGGCTTTTTTATTATTGTTTTGGAAAATAGTAAAAATGAAAGGGTCACAGATCAGGTTTTTCAGGGTGAGAATTGCATGTGGTGTCCTTAACTTTGTATATACCAAGGCTTTAGACAAAAAAATTTTTTGTTTTATTTTATTTTGTCAGAAGCCCCCCTTAATGAAAATTGTTTTGACCTATAACCTAATGAAATTAAGCTATATGTGTAATGTTTTTGAAGAAGGATTAAATTCAGAGTTGACTAGCTACTTGAACCCTTTATATATGACAAGTCTGGACTATTTTATGAAAATGGTCATCTTCAGTTGTGAAAAGCCTTTCTTCTCTGGAAGGTGGATTTAGGCAATAGTCAAACCTGTACTCAAAAAGTAAACCCTAAAGGCCCCATCGTCTGTTAAAGCTGTGCCCCCAGCAAAACAAAATCACGCGCACACACAAGCACATTCATAGTCATATTCATATATTCTTTCTTGTTTTTAAAATTTTGGGGGAGGAGTGGATAATTTTTTTATATTTCTGACAATATAAATTGGTTTAATGGCATATATTTCATTCCAGGTGCAGCAGACAGCCAGAACTCAATTTGGGTGCCATTCCAGACAGCTGCCGGACACATCACAGCACTCTACAAAGGTATGGCTATGCGGCTGTTTGCTTGAGGCTTCAGCGATTGTCAGGGAAGCAATGCAAGGTAAATCAGTCAATGAATAGTGCCGAGGAGACTATGCACAGGTGTTCCTGATAATTACCCCAATCAGGTGAGTATGGGTGAGGCTGATTGTTAGAATGACAGAACTGTAATGAAAAATCTGTTTGTACTTTTTTCAGAAAAAATAACTAGCCCCTATTTTGAGTCATTTGAGATAAATACGAGAGTTCTAGATCTACATTTAGGGACTAGTTTGTATAAAAAGAATTGCAGACCAGTTGATATTCAGTATAAACAAATTTGTGCTTTTGTCAAGGGTGTCAGCTTGCTCCACCCTTCCCTCAAGCAATTATAACCAGGTAGTGAGAGTATTTCTTAATAGATTGGAAGTAGTTGTTTCCAAGAATAAAGCATCCAGGGAAATCTCACCAATGAAAAATCTATTAGATATGAATGCACTTACATGGGTTTACTGACGGTTATTCAAATAAAGTTGGGTTAAGAATAAAGAAAATGCCAGGCTTCCACTTGACTAGTCATTTAAGTGCTGTGTAATCAATTGAAGCAGCTGTAGCATCATGGCTTTGCAGGACCAGTAGTATTTGTTTGTTTTTAAACCTTACAATCATATTGTCAAGGAAAAGAATGTTTAGTAAGACTTTTGGGTTAGACAGGATGAATTTATCTTACACATGTTTATTGAATGGAAAACAAAATCCACTTTTTACTATTCCACACCACTTAGCAGATGACTGCAACATACTCATAGTTAGGTTTTTGGCCTTCATACTGTCTGGCTACATTGTGTGTGGGCTGCCATTTTATATGAATTTGATATCCATGCTCAAAGTGATAGTGATGCTTAAAAAAGTTATAGTATGTTTTTTTGAGAGACTGAACAGGATTTTATCACAGACAGTTATTTTTGTTAAATAACTCTTAAGCTATTTCATACTTTTTGTGTATTGGGAAAGGGATAGGGCTTTTGGTATACACCCCAGTCCTTTTTGAGACATTCTCAACCTCAACAGACAGAGTGGCTAAGACAGAAGGATGTAGTTTTTCTTTTAGTATTTACTTTCTACAGCATCGACACCAATGGTCAGTAGTGGTCATGCCGTACACAAACTTCAATAAATTTTTCAACAAGTTTTGCTGTCGCTATATACATGAGATTTGTGCTTTATAAATTTGTTGTCCATGTTCATATTTAATATTAGGGTCTCTGTCAGATAAATTCAGTTTTCATTGACAACACTGATATGATCCTTCTAAAGATACCAAATCATTAAGGAGTGAAGTGGTATTTGTGGTATTTTTCTATGATTTTCTATATAGATATTCAAATATATTGAGAGTATGGTTTCAGCTGCATAAAAGCATTGTGCTTTCTGCAACAAGGGCTTTGTATAAAGCTCAGCCATGTTATAGATTGATAAATATTCTTGGTGAGATGTTTTGGTGGATCAGCCATCGTATCACACATATAAATGAATAGATAAATAAATAAATGATTAACATAAAAAGTCAGAAACATATGAAACATAATATTGTTAGATTGGGAACAAGGTCTATGGTGTATTATTATTATTATTATTATTATTATTATTATTATTATTATTATTATTATTATTATAATAGAGTCCAAGAGAAAGTAATGTCATAAAGATTCTTGTTTATTTCATAACTATTACATTAATTCATTCAATCACAGATATGTGTCCAGTGGTGGGAGATGCTCATGATTGGTTCGGGGAGAATAGAAACTTCCAAGGAAATGGGTGAATGGGGGAGTTTTGAGTATACATTCCATTTATTATAATTCAATTTTATACTTGCTATGTTCATTCCCAAGTAGAAAAGAGGCAGGGCCAATGATAAAGGGGCTCCTGTGATTAGGAGACAACTGGATACCAAGGGAATGGGGGAGTGGGTATTACATACGTTACTAGATTTTTTTTAATACTCCCAGATTTATTCCCAAGAAGATTGCTGGAAGAAAATCAGGATCCGATTGTAGGATTGGCTCAGTATATGGAAGGGGCATAGCTTATGAGGATGGGATAATTGGGATGTGAGTAGGGAGAATGTAGCTGGAAAAAACCTGGCAAACTTGAAAAAAAAAAAAAGTGGGAAAATAGCCCTGAAGGTTTTGAGAGGCTTTTGTGTATTATATCCTCTCATATCAAACCTATTTTCTTTGAAATGCTACCATTGCGGCCAGTTGGAATTAAACTGTATTGTTTTGTAATACAGTTTATTGAACTAGAAATATATATATCTTAAAGCATGAAGAAAGTTTAACACAGAAAAATGAAAATGAAAAATGACTGGCTGAAGATGATACAGAAGTATTAGTTGATGACTCACTACAAAATTCTCTTGCAGAGGCTGTAGAGTCAGTGCGACGCAGTGGTGAGGCAGGAGTGCAGGCAGGGTATCAGCGACGCACACGTGAGGTGCTTAACTGGGCCCGCAGGAGGAGACACATCCGCCGTGAGGAGTTGATAGCATTTTTAGCTGGCAAGACACCCCCACCCAGAACAACCCACCTCAGGTTTGTCTTTTTGCTGTATCTGTGTCCTGCTGTCACACTAGAATTATATTGTATTTGAGGTATGAGAATAATTTGGGCTTTTGGGATATGGCTCCTTACTTTGTTATGAAAGATTTATATTATTGTTTACAACACAGATTTTTTTTGTGTGTGTGTGTGTGTGTGTGTGTGTGTGTGTGTGTGTGTGTGTGTGTGTGTGTGTGTGTGTGTGTGTGTGTGTGTGTGTGTGTGTGTGTGTGTCAGTTAATCACACTTTTTTATGGTATGTAAAATTCTGGTTTGGAAACACTGTATGTTCCTGTTAACAATAAAGACATCAGTTTTGGAAACATTTCGAAACTAATGCCTGACCAAAAGTTCTAAAGGCATATAAATTTAAGGATTTCTACTCTACCCTGTACTATAATTTGATATCAGCAAATGATTTTCAGTCCCTCTGAAATCAGTCTGTCATGTATGCGTATACTTTTTTAATATGGTGTGTATATTTGTTTAGGGCTGATATACCTAAAAGTTCATAAAAATATCTTCAATTGTTTTTGAATAAAAAGTGACATGATCTAGAAATCCCCTTAATAACTTTTTAACTCTTAATCCTACAATGATGGTACTAGAAATCTCATGGCATTACTGATTCTGGTGACTTCTGGCAACTGACCTGCCATTGGGCCCAGGAGTTTGCAACATGTAGCAGAACTTTCTGATTGACTAGCTCTAGTGCATTGTGATGCCTATACCTGTACTTGTCATGATGATTTGGTTTTTCATTATGGCTATAGGTGTGACCGGAAGACTATGGGAATTGCAATTTATCCACAGATACTAGACCCCCTAATAAAAAAAAGAGTTATTGTACAATTGATATAAAAGTAATTAGTTATCTTCTCTACCAACTAAATCATTTAAAAGTTGTCAGTGAAAGTATTTACAGTATTAACCCCTTGGTGCCGGGTGATGCCGATCGGCGCGTAAACAAACCGCTGGAAAGCTGGCGTGCGGCTTTATGCCGCGGCGGCGCGCCAAAGCGCGGCGAGCCAGTGATTCGGGCTGATGTCCCCTACTTACGCGCTCAAAGTTGGAGCGCCGCCTTTGTTTGCTAGAGCATAGAGTTTTTTTTTTTTTTTTTTTTTTTGTTTTGTACTCCCGGTGTCATTGGGTTAAACAGATTTCCTCCCATCTGTTTTTAGTTACTGGTGTCATCATTATTTTGCAGCTAGAATTTTTTAAATGAGTTTACACGCAAAGTTATTTTGACCTTTATGTGATGAGATAATTGCATTTTTATGTTGAAAACTTCATTAAAAAACATGAGTAATATAGACATTATAAAGTGAATTTTTATTCTCATTATCCTTCACAAAAGCTTAGGAGGTTAGTAATGTGAGGCCAGGTTTAATTCAGGTCACTCTAGGTCACACTTTTGCTACCACTGTCGTGGCCACATGGGAAGTGTTTCCTCATCAAGTTTTTCCTCTGTCCTTCGATTTTTTTAGAGGCATTCTCCTTGCCTCACAGAAGGTCATCCTTTTACCACTCGTTCACATTTTGTTATGAAACAACAAAATAAGACAAGTGGAAAATGTTATGTGATTTACCCTTGGTGTTTATCAGTTACTGATTCTCCCTCTGCTAATGCGCAGTGATGTGGATGGTGACGTCAAAAAGAAAAGGGAAAAAAGGTAGAAAAAAGAAAAGAAAAGAAAAGAAAAAGTGAGAAAAGGGGGTATGGCTTCATCAGCCAGGCAATTTAAAGACCAGAATTTAAACTGTTAAGGATGCTTTGTACAGCTGAGAGTGATTGGTGAATGACACAGATGAGTTCATGTACTCATTTTCATTATATCAAATATATTCATGGAAAATTAGCACTGAAATCCTTAAATAAATATAATGGAATTATTTAATTTTTTTTTTGTCACCTCATTAAACGTGGTGTTTGATACCCATGTTGCTGTTTTATTGAGAAACATTCTTATTCTATTACACACCAGACCTACACTATATCTAGTGTATGTGGTACATACTGTAGTCAGACAGTTGTTGGAAAATTACATTACAGGGCAAAGAAAAACTAACCTATCATTAGAAAAACTATCTCCTTAGTGACCGCACTGAACCCCTTGCATCCATGTGCTTCGTTGCCCGTACGTAGCCCAAAATCTGGGCATTAGGTTTACTTGAGTGACCTAGCTGTTGTGACTAGGTTTGTGGCCTGTAGGCTGGGAGTGCATGAACACTCATGCAGTGACAAGAGTCCATGCCTCCTCTTTGCAAGATATTTTCTTTTTCTGCATAAGACATTTTTAGCTTCTTTGCCATTTTTAACCCCTTACCGATGGGTGAAGAAAATTTTTAAAAACTCTACGCTCTTGAAATTAATGGCAACGAGCCTATCTTGAGTGCGGGAGCTCAATAGATCAAGCTGAAGATTCGTCTCGTAGCGCTTTGGTACGTTTCTGCGGCGTACAGCCACACTCCACATGTCGAGAGGTTTGTTATGATGGCTCAGTGTGTGGCCCATCGGTATGAGGTTAATGGCTGTATATGTCAGTTGATATACTATATCCAAATGGTAATAGACTATTTTCCTTGCACAGACTCCATATCATCATTCTTGGCTGTTCATAAGTCAGACAATATATATTTTTTTTTTATGATTGCAAATTTTCTGTACTACAACCTGAGTCACCAGTCATGGTTGGCAGTAGTATCCTAAGCATGGAAATAACAACCACCTGGACTAATTGGCAATACATTCCACACTCGTTTATTGATGGAAATAATGCAGTAGCCCCTTCATAAATGCCTGCTAAGTCTAATTACCCTTCAAGGGCTTTTTACATTCATTGTGAACCATTCCCATCACCCAAGCCTTCAGCCAAAATTTTCAAGACAGGAAATTCCTGTTACTCTAGCCCTAAGCCAGTTTTCTCCATTATGCCGTGTTCACATCATCAGCCACTCATATCATTTTTTTTCATGACATGATGATCATCCAGATCTTAGAGGATAAGGTGACCTTCCCTGAAAGGAGTGTCAGGGAACAAATTGACAAATATTTGTGAAAAGAAAACAGTTTTGCTGATTTTCTTAAAATTTGGATATTTCATGTATTTTCACCCACCCTCACTGGGAAAATATGTTCAAAGTAGTATTGTATGGAGAAATGTCTCTTCACATAGACGGCTCTGCAACTGCTTAGCCATAAAAGAGTCACCTGTTTTCACCTTTTCTTTTGTGGGAATTTTTTTTTTTTTACAAATGCTATCATCAACCCCTTACGGATGGGTCATGTGTACAGTTATCATAACAAACCGCATGGTCTGTGGGAATACGGCTATGTTTGCAGCAATGTGCTAGAATGTATGGAGTGTGAAGTTCCACCGTATGTAGCAAACTCCCGTGCCCAGTGGCTGGACGTTGCCAGAAAACACCAGAGTTTATGATGCTGAGAGATTTCTAATACCCAGCAGCATTGGGATATTGATACTGTCATTTTATTTAGACATTATAGTTGTGAAAGTATTATTGACATTACTAACAGTAATATAAGATACTAGAAAATATGTTGAGACGGTGAGAGGGTAATAATCATAATTGACTAATTGGCGACATCGTATTTGTGGAACCATCTGTTTGTAAAAATAGTTAACCCCTATGATTTGGAAAATGTGACCATCACATCATGAAAAAAATTTGGCTTGAGGGCCAGTGGCTTAAACATGCAGTGACAAGAAAATCTGGCTGTTGGCCAGGGTAACTGAAGGCTGGGGTGACAGGAAAGACTAACCATGAGTTCACAAACCTCTTGGAGGGAGTTTATAAAGGGGCTTTTGCATTATTCCTGTAGATAAACAAGTTTGGAACATAATGTCTCTGAATCATGACTGGGAGAGGGCTCCAAGTCATCCTATTTCTGTATTTACAGAAAATACAGTATTATGAAAAAATAGAAATAGATAATTCAAATAACAAAATTTTACTTATTGTTGAAAGGAAAACTGCCACAATAAGAAATGAATATGAATCGTAACGTTTTGAACTCTTCACGAGTTCCTCTTCAGATGTTTGAATAACTGAAATGGATCTTCCATTTCGGTTATTCAATAGTCTGAAGAGGAACTCGTGAAGAGTTTGAAAAGTTCTGATTTATATTTTCTTACTGTGGCAGTTTTCCTTTCATCTCTGTGTACATGTTACTGTGGTTGTGTTTGTGTCAGTTACTTATTGTCATTATTCTTCCACTAAGTTATGGACTACCTAGAGAGATGATATAAAGTCAGTGCAAAGAAAAGTCTATTACTATCTTGATAAAGCAAATCAGAAGACAATTAAGGGTATTGGAAAATGGCAAAATCAAACAAACATACTTATGCCTAAAAAGAGAAAAGATTGCATAGAATCTTGTCACCCCACACAAGTCTTCACATGCACTTGGCCTATAATCTGTGTACCTTTCAGAGTGGCTGCATTGGGTTAATGATAAAAAACCCTAAGCTGCAGTACATATGGTGCTGCTGTACCTATTTGTGGGGAAATACAGTACATTATGAATATCAAACAATAAATACTTCATTTGCTGATAACTACCACTTTGCATTTGGAATCGTGTCCTTCAGTAGCTGGAAAAGCTTTTTATTCTAAGAGTTTTAACACTGTTTAGCAGTATCAGTGTATTATTGTGTTGTAGTAGATTTTCCTTGATACTTTTATCTCTTTCTGACTGTTGTACATGATGAGCATATGCCTGTCATACATTTTTGTGACATCAGAATTGAACTATCTTTGCAGAGGTTCCCCCCGCACCCGCATATCACTGGAGCGCATGAGCCCACGCCTGCCCAGCCCTCACCACCACAGTCACGTACACCCCCACACACACAACCCAGAGCCAGACCTCAACACCTTCAAAGAAGCTCTTGGGATCTCAGGTCTGTATTTTGGATTTTGACTTGTCTTTCAAAAAAGGAGGACTTGGGGAAATTTCTTTGTATTGACATTTATTAGTGGAAATAATGAAAATACTTTTGATTTTGTATGGGATATAAAAGGAAAAGAACAAGTAGACATTGATACTATTGACTAACCAAGGTATATTTGTCTTTTACCTTAATAGGGATTGTTAGTAGTAAATTATATTCTTATTGTGTGTATATTAGGTAGATAGATAAATATATAAACATATGCTTAAACAATCTCTTCTCCTGCAGGTCAACCAAGTATAAATGTACGTCCATCCCCAGTCGGGTCGCCCACCCTCTCCTCCCGCCGGCGGAATTCAACACACTTGCCTGAGCTCCAGGCTTTCATATGTGATGAATTTGCAAGAAATAAGCGGCCAGCACCCTCCTCTTCTCCCACCCATGATGTCACCATGGACTCACCTCAGCACAAACGCTCTCGCTTTACTTAAAGATATGAGTTAGATTTTTTTTTTTCTTTTTTATTGTAGTTACCGCTGTTTTTTTTATTTTTTTATTTTTTTTTTTTTAATCTTTATTTTATTTTGTGACAACCTCTTTCACTGTGCCTAAAGGTTGGATTTTTCAGTGGGGAAGTTATCTATTTGATTTTGAAGTTGCAAATTATAGAAGATAGTACTGATTCGTAAGGAAATCAGATTTTTTTTTTCATCCTCTTTTTTTCATTCATTATTTATCTTTTCCTGCTATTTTTCTTACCAGACAGTATAATTATGTAAGGACCACGAATGGCCCTCTTTTGAAGGTCGTGCAGTAGATAATGTACTTGAAAGACTCTATCTGTCAGGTATATTATCTTGGGCCTGATTTAATTTTGTTTATACAGATATAGGGATCTAGAAATATAAAATTTTAACAATGTTCTATATTACTCAAAGATATGAGTTCTGATAAGTCATGAATTCCCTGTCCCCTCCTCGTCTCCTTTCCTCTTCTCTTCTCTTTTCCCATCTCTACTCTCTCTCCCTCTCTCTCTTGCTCTCTTTCTCTCCATTCCTCCTCCTCCTCCTCCTCCTCCTCCTCCTCCTCCTCCTCCTCCTCCTCCTCCTCCTCCTCCTCCTCTTCCTCCTCCTCCCTCTTATCTTCTGTAGAATGTCAATGGATAACTCTAATGCTCTTCAGCCTGAGACAGACATGATGCATAGACCAATGAGTCATGTCATTGTGCCTATTCCTTTGTAAATACTTGTAAAGAAATAAACATTTTGAGAGGTCGTATCCTCAGATATCCTCAGAGGTTTTGTGGCCTCGTGAAACAAGATGAGAGCACAAAAATTCACTTGCGAAGAAAACAGTGTCTTTACCCCCCAAAAAAAGAAAAAAAAAAAAAAGTTTATTAAATGTGTATGAAGATGATACACAAATCATTATTGTAAGGTATCGTTGATAAAAAAGTGTATGGAAATGTTCAGGTTACAAATTGCAACAGCCAAATTTATTCTTATTCACACTTCTGAGCACTTTAACTGAATGAGGCTAGAGTACACAAAAATGATCAGGCAGGTTATATTAGCTTGTCTTAAAGTGTACAGACTTGACATTACTCAGTAGTTGAAAACTGCAATATTTATCTTTAGATTTTGTTATAGTGTTTGATTGTGGTTATTATATGTAATGTCCTGGACTCCTTCAGTGAAAGTGTTTGGGGAGTTTTTTTTTTTTTTATTATTATCATTATTATTATTATCAATTTTTTTTTTCTCTCTCTCTTGTTTGTTTTTTCATTTATATCTCTTGAATAGGAAACAGTCTAGGGGAAGTATGTTTGGTATAAAAAAGCAACTTCAGAGGCCAGCAGTTTTATGCACTTTGATAAAAGAAATGAGGTAGAGGACACACCTAACCGTGGAAAACAAGTTTAAAATACAAAGCAAATACAAACCCACAGCTGGCTCAAATCAGCCAGTAATAGTGTAAGAAATCTCTCAAAGGTCTCTAAAAGTAGAGGAGCAAACAACGTGATACCTCTTTTTAATATACATTATGTATGGATAATATAAAGAAGTTAGTATTTAAGGTGTTTTCAGTGATGCACTTTGTATGCAAAACTAGTCCCATACAGGCGTTTTGCTTACCCTGTACATGCTTCCAGTTTTCTTGCCTTGGCCCTCAAGAAACTGTCCCTTTTCACCTGGCTTGTAATTTACAATTGTACTTTGTGACTTGTTATTATAAATAATGGTCCAGAATTGTTAATAAATGAAATTTCTAATGTGGTTCCTATTGCCTGGAATATTTTTAAAAATTAGTGTTAGATACCATTTTTGTATGATTTTTTTTGTTGACTTTTTCATGTAGTAAATTAGGCCTTGTATATGCTAAAAAGAAGAAAAAGGAAGTAAAACCTTGCACAACCAGCTAAAAACAAAATTATGTTATGATAGTAATCTCAGTCTTGTTTGTGAGAGAGATAGTTCATGGTTTGCAAAAGTCGTAAAGACAGCATCAGTCAAAGGGATGTCCATTTCAATGGTTAGGAGATATGACACCGAGTTGGGCTCCTACAGTGAAACATAGTTTAATCTCATAACAATGCTGTAAGCATTGCTGTACTAGATATATGGAGGGGCCATTTATTCTGTCAATATGACCCAGGTATAAACATATTTAGACCAAAAGAAATGTTTAAAATGGGATTTAAAAAGGAGTCATTTATTGAGGAAACTTTGAAAAAAAGTGGGGGGGATACATATGAGCCATATTTGCATGAACCATCATGCCCAGTGGGCAGGAGCAGGAAGCCCATTTTTGGCCAACTTTGAAATTAAACCAGTGGGATGCCCTTACCTGGAGCTGACTCACCCACTGATTGGTTGTACTGCCTATTGCTAGTAGCGGCTGCCACTGATTTACGAATTCATGTAGACTGAAGTCACCAATGTGGCTGAAGGAATTTGCCCACTGGTTATGCCTGATCATGCGGACATAGCTTTAGATATAGGTTTTTATCAAGATAATTATTTAGTAATTATGGCTATATTGACAGGGCTTAAGATAACAGCGGCAAGAACAAAAATATAATTATATAAGCAACTTGGCATCTCCTCATCAGTGCTGGAGTAGACATCTTTGCAAAGTTTGAGAAAAGGTAGTGCAACAAATGCTTCATTTTTGTTATATTATTTGTTTTCATGTTTGATATTATCCCCCACTGCAAGTGCATCACATTGTAAAATATTCAGTTTATGTGTACATAGGTTTTATTTTTATGTACTTTTTTTCCCCCCTTCCCTTTCTTTTTTTATTTATATATATATTTTTTTGTCCTACCTCTCTTCTATTCTCTCTCTGCTTTCAATTGATTGTGCCATGTTAGATCTCCAAATTTCTTTCCTCTTTTTCCTTTCTTTTTTGTATATATATATAAATATACATATATATATATATATACATGCATACAAGACAAAAGGTTGGTCAGTTCAAGGAGTGGGGGGAAATAGTAATGCAATGTCATGTGCAAATGTCACCGTGTGCATTTATAAGAGAGAGAGGCAGTGTAAAAAGAAAAAGAAAAGACATAGTGTAATTGTGTATATTTCTTCCTCTCTTTCATCTGCTTTTCATTAAAAAAAAAAAAAAAAATTATATATATTTTAGAGCAGTATCATAATCAAGGTTTCTTTCTTTCTTGTGAATAAATAAAAAAAAATATCAGGAAAGATGTAAAAACAAAAAGAACGGAAGTGGCAGCTATAACCCCATTAATATTGAAATCCCCTTCACTCCCCGCCCCTTTTTTTTTGTTAATCACATAAACAGGCCATGGCAAAACGAAAGAATTTTTTTTATTTTTTTTTATTCAAGCAAAATTAAAGCAAAAAAGCAGCCTTGTCTTGCTATGTGTTAGGCCTTGTTGGAAGCATAGCATAATGTTGCTATGAATTATTCAGTAGTGTAAAGAGTTTGCTTTTTAACTTGACCTTCCTAGTGTCTTTCATCCTTCTCATTCTGTGATTAAAAAGGAAAAAAAAAAAATCTTTCTAAAAAAAAATTGGCGTGTTTTTTTCTCCTCAAAGTGTAGAGGAAATATTAGATGCTGAGATTCATGTATCATTACTATTGCAAGGAATACTGTTATCCTTATTTTTGTCCTCATTTTTATAACGTGTAGGGCAGTGTTTTATCCTTCAAAAAGATTGTGTTAAAAATGACATGATCACAATGACTACAATAAGAATCATATCTAGGTCTTGTATATGTTGTAGATTGTTATAAAATATAGTTCACTCAGAATTTTAGAATGTATAATGATTTACAATAAAAATCTACAAAAAGTATTATTTACAATAAAATATAAAGTATAATGATTTGCAATAAACGTATAAAAATATAATAATTTGCAATAAAGATATGAAAATATAATAATTTGCAATAAAAATATAAAGTATAGAAAAACTTGGAAAAATGGAACACTGTATGAAGATAATTGACACATATATGACTCATGCAGTGAATTTAAACAACAACAGGTAAAAGTAATCTTGTATGAAATGTGGTACCCTATTTTCTGAGTGATGATCACATTGCATGATGCTGAGCAGGCTATTGTGGTAATATGAAATAAATAATGTATTTGGAAAGTTAAACCAAGTGTACCCCCCCCCCTCTGGGCCCCTTGCACTTTGTTGGGGGGGGGGGGGGCTTAGGAGACCGAGACTGAGGCCCAAAGTAGGGGCTAACCCCTGCCTTGGACCTCAGCCCTTGCCTCAACAAATATTGCAAGGTCTTTCCTTCTCCCCCTTTCCTTTTTCTTCTATTCATCCCTTTCTGACCACATACCCTAATCATTAACTATTTTTACCCCTTTTTGCCACAATTCTCTATCATAATGCTCTACTTGGGGCTTCACCCTCAAACCCCACCCTATCACTGTATTTTGGAAATGCTGCTAACGATTTTAGATGTTGACACTGCAACAGAAATTCAATAAATAAATGATCTGAGTGTGTGCTGTATAGTTTCTTTCTAGCAAGGTTATTTAAACATGGTCTTCATTATCTTCATATTTTTTACTTATGTTTCTTTTTATGAGTATTCTTCATTTTTATTTAAAATCTTTCTCTTTACTACCCTCTAGTACTGTCAACCTCTAACTTTACTGTAATCATTAACTCGTTTTTGTTACTATACTTTACCATAGTGCTATATGACCTTAGTAGTCTTGCACATTTATTTGTTTTATTTGTTTTTATTAACCATTAACAATTTCAAATCTTTTTCTTTCTTCTTTCTGGTTATTTTGCTCTTTTTCTCCCGCCTCCTGGATTCGTCTACATCTATAACCATCATTTATTACCGTATTACCCTTTAATTATTCCATTATAGCTCTTTTGCTGTTTTCTTATACAGTGTTACTCTCCTTTCCTCAGACAAATTCTCTCCATTTGATCTATACCTTTAACCACTTCCCCATTTACAAATCCCCACTGTATTCCATTTGCTCCCCCTCTATACCCTTTTCACTATTATTCTATCCTACAGCGTTCTACAACCTTTGACATCTAACACATCTTATTCTGATCGTTAACTAATTTCCACCCTTTTTGCCATAATACTTTACCATAGTGCTGTATGACCTTTGATGTCTAGCGCATTTATTTCTTCTAACCATTAACCATTCTCCCTCCTCCTCCCTCATTATCTCTACATCTCTTTTCCCCCAAACTTCACTCCACTTCACTTCACTTCTCCTCCTCCTCCGTGAGACCTGTACTGATGGTACAGGTCTCACGGCCTTGTACGGAAATCTGATATAGCACTCATTCAGGCATTTGGGTTCCGCTGCTGGAGGCAGATACTCAAACTCTTGATCGGGTATCGAACCAAAATGTTCTACACAGGATGGGTAATCTAACATGAAGCGAGGACTTCCTTCGTAGATGCCTCACTTATCTTGGTCATGTCCTTCGTATGGATGAGTGACGTCTAGTTAAAGTGGCCCTTATGACCGGCCCACACCTGCCTAGAAACGCCCACAAGGAAGAGTAAGGACAACATGGCTGTCCACCATCCCGAAGGAACTGGCCCCTCTGAAGCTGCAGCACATTTACCGTTCGTGGAATAATGGCTGGAAACATGCCCTTACTGACTATGCTTCTAATCGCCAACAATCGAGAGTGTTCTTAAGATCTCCGGAGTTGCGGAGTTGATGTATGAAGATGACGATGATTCTTTCTTCTCCTTTTCCTTTTCCTTTTACTTTTCCTTTCCTTTCCCCTCTCTCCTTTCCTTAACTTGTCCGTTTACGAATAGGTCCGCCTCACCTATTT